TGGGTGTCTGCGGGACGTCACGCAGTGACCCGGCACGGCAGTTACCCGAGGCACGCCAGCGGGTGTGGCACGCAGGCGCGCGGTACGCCTACGACGCCAACATCACCAGCAGTCACATAACACGGAAACTCCCGCGACGCTTGCTATTCCCTCTCGGTGCTGCTGCGACGCTGAGGCCCTACAACCACTCAACGTGCTGCGACCCGAGACCGGGTTGCTGCGACAATTTCATGGGTTCAAAGGCTCAAACTGCTCATGGGGAAAAACAACAACATGGTATGCAATTACTCGGTTTTTCTCAACTAAAATTTCCAACCACATCTCAAGGTTTCTCGACGAGAAACAAATCAAATTCTCAAGGCACAAACTACTCGTTTCTCTCTTTCTCCTAACTAACATCAATAAACAAATCAAATTTTTGTTCTTTCTCTACTGAATTTTGGACAAAATTATCCCGGCATGAAATAAAGAAATTTGAGGCTCGAGGCTTTACCTTTCAGCGGGATGGAATAAAAAAGGAAAAGGCTCGATTCTCAGACAAGGATCGACGTGAGGAACTACTTGCTCGCGGTCTGCCGGGAATCTTCTTCGAGCGCTGACAAGAGCTGACTCCCAATCGGGTGCGCTCGTCACGACCGTGGATTGTCTGTTGTCTGCTTCAGCCACCGGTTCGCTGCTTTGCCGAAGGGAAAGTTATAATTTTTTTAGAGTGGTATTGAGAGAGAGATTAGGGTCGTCTGGAGGTTTTTATAAGGGAGAAATGTCGGAACTTTACGGTGATGTCAAGCTATTAACTTCAATAATTGCGCAATATGGTTTCCCGACTGAGTTGTTGATGCTCACCCCTCATTTATCATTTCAGGTTGAAAGTAGGTCGGACACATTAGATGCGTGGTAGTCATATTTTATATTATTTGATGTTATTCTGAGTAGTTGATTGTTAATGTTGATTTGGTTAAGCTTGATGGTTTTTGGATACTTCGTACTTCAAACTTGGGTTAATCTTTAGTCGACAGCATGACTTATAGTTCAATGACACTTATGTTTTGATCACTTGATTATGACATGATATGAGAATTTGAGAAAGTTTTGAAAGTTTGAATGCTATTGTGTTATGAGTATGTTTTGAGTACGAGAAAATATTGATTTTTTGTTCGAATACAGTTTTCAAATTTTGTTAACGCTCTTTTAAATTGCAATATTCACTTTTGAAAATTGTGGCTGTTGATGTACTAAATTTGATCTAACCTTTGATATTCGTGGAATTGTTCGGATATTGGATTATTGTGTAATTGAATAAACGAATTAAATGAAAAAAAAAAATGAAGAAGATCATGAAAAGAAAAGCAGGGATAAGAGAGCAGGGAGGCACCGCCTCAATCTCGATAAGAAGAAAATTAAGAGTCCCTCAAATTTATCTTTTTTTTGTCAATCATAGGAGGTATTTATATACATATTTTGTGGGCCCAATATTATCACAAGTGAATATTTATGTTTGGGCATAAAAATAAGACATTAATATATATATATATATATATATATATATATAGGGTTGGGTTCCGGTGAGAATGACTCTTACCGAAAGAAATAAGAATGAATTAGAAACGCAGGATCAAAGCAATCTGATGGCCACCACGGGCTCACTGCAATTTACTCACCCCATCAATTGGAGGGTACTATTGTAAATATGCTGCTTACCCCATATCAATCGAATTAATTGAATTCTCTCTCAGCTAAAACCCTCA